TGCTGAACTGAGAAAGCAAATCATCTGTCCGTAAGGCAAAAGACAAAAAAAATGGCACAGGAAGTTCAGAAACATGAAAGCCTATTCTAGGCATTGAGCAACTGCAGGCTCACTAAACCCAAACACAGGAACTTCAGTTTCACTCTGTTATTGAAGAGAAATATTATACCTCTCTCTAAATCTAATGGTTTGCAAAACAAATAACTCTTATAGAAGTTGTGTGGAGGGGAAAAAAAAACCCAAACAACCCTCTAACGATTATTTATTACCTCTTAATTTCCATGTTTCAAACACAGAAATCATTACTGGCTTCAATGCTTATTCCTTGTCCCCAACTCAATTCCCACAGGAATTGTAATGCTAAATGCATCTTCTTGCATTTACACACTTCTGCTTTTTACAAGAAACAAGGACTTGGTTTTGAAGCAAAGCTTATTATTTTTTCCTATGGGCTGAGTGGCTAAATTTGTAAACGAGGCCAACTCACCAAGGAACACCACTGTGCATTATACTCAGAACTGTGCCAGCATATCACTGATAGTACCTTCTCAGGTACTGATAATACCTGAAATATTTTCTACTGGTTTTACTTTTTTTTTTCCTTTCTTTTTGGTTGTTGTGGTTTTTTGTTGTGGGTTTTTTTTTTTGGGTGGGGACATGGAGAGGGTAGGATAGGGAAGGCACAGAAGGGAGGAAGCAGTTTTGCACGTTATCATAAAGTAAAACCATCTACAAGCAGTAATGCAAAGCCATGATCACCTCAAGAACTAGACATCTTTTGAGGGTCAAATCATGTAGACTTCACATTCCTCTTTTTTAGGCAATTGGTAATCATCATTCTCTCTGCAGCCAGACTATGTGAATCCGTGAGAAAACTGAATCTGTGGTGCCTTCATCCTGTTACAAACCCAGCAGTCAGCTTCACTAAAGGACTTCCTCCAGTAAAGCTGTGAAGTAGCTAAAATGTTGCTTCCTTGAGAGAGTTTGAATGTCTGAAATACTGGTAGAAAACACCCTTTTGAGACTAACAAATAAATGTAAAAATATTTGACAACTGAAGAAAAAAAAAAAAATGAGTAAGGCACTAGACATTTACAGCTCCTCACACCGAATCACAGACACGTGTGTGACCAAGATCCTAGACTGCAGCATCCCTGCAGTGTCAAATGGATGTTGCCAATTAGGAGCTGGTTCTCCTGCAACATCTTTGTTAAGCTTGCTCACCACCACTGGCAGCATAGGAGGAAGGCAGGCAGCAGCTTCCCAACAGAAGCATCTCCTCTGATGCCTGGAACCTTGCAAGGAACAGGTATGTGTGCATGGCTTCATCCCCAGAGCACAGAACTGTGCCACTGCAGCTGCCTGTGGGTGCTTAAACAACTGCATTTTTCCAGTACATCAGTCCTGAAACAGGTGAAGGAACTGGGGACTCTGGGGTTAAGGAGAATCCTGTTCCCCTTCTTTGGGGAAGAAGAAGAGAGTAAACAGGAAAAAAGTGGGAACAGAAACAAAGTCATTACTGTGAAAACCACTCTCGGGTATAGAAAAGACAGAGGAATGAAGGGAAGTCCAAGGAAAGATACAAAAAGATTCCCTACGTATTCACCAGTTCTGCTGGAATACTCTTCATGTGATACATGAGTAAAAATGACTGCAGCTGATATCCTCATCCTGCCCTGAAACCTCTGATACAGAAACCACACACAGCAACAGCACAGCAACCTACCACAAATGAATACTACTTAGTGCAGAGACACTGTCAGCTACTACAAACAGCTTTGAGAGAGGTATTACTCTTGTGCAAGCCCAGTAAATCCACTTCTACAAGGAATTAATACGCAAGACAGAAAGGACAGCAGAATAGTAGAACATATTTAATGGAAATCAAATAAAGACAAAATTTAACGACAAAAGGGAGGTAGTCATCAAATAAATAATCAAAGACAGAAAAGAATAAACCAAAAATGAGGACTAGCATTGAAGTAACAGTTCTTGTGCTTATTCATATAGCATCTGCATAAAGGCTATCAGAACCTGACAATACATGGTATTTTAAAATACACATTAGAAATCAAAATAACTCAAAACTATTTTTAGAAAGATCTGTAAGAACTGTTTAATAGAATAAAAAGTTTTAGTCTGCATAGAATTCCTGGCACCCTGTATGCAGGTAAGCTGCATATATGTCAGCGCTCCATATGTGGAACATATATTCTCTGGCATATGCCAAAAATATCTTTTTATTTCTCCATCTAAGGCTAAAAACTT